AGCTGCGCCACAATGGAAGAAGTGACACTCCCCTCTGTAGCTCTGGTGTGGCAGCTGAACTCCACATGGGAAACTTAGGGCTGTGTTGCTCAGGACTTGAACTTCAAGCAAAGAAAGAAAGAGAGAGAGAAAGAAAGAAGAGAAAGTGAGAAAGAGAGAGAGAGAGAGAGAGAGAGAGAGAGAGAGAGAAAGGAAGGAAGGAAGGAAGGAAGGAAGGAAGGAAGGAAGGAAGGAAGGAAGGAAGGAAGGAAGAAGGAAAGAACAATCTAGGACTAGCTTGGACAAAACACAAAGCCAGAGACTTGAACTCTACAGAGCCTCTCCTGCATTTCTCTCCTGCAGCCCTTCGTGTGTTAGCTTTCCACAGGGCAGGTGGTGAGTCAGGCACAGGCACCAGGCTGGCTATACTCAGCTTGCACACCAGAGACTGATGCTTATTCTCCCTTTCGTGTCAAGTTTCCTGGGTAAAGGTTCTGGCCTAGTTTGGGTCAAGTCTGGATTAATGGCTATTTCCAGAGGGGCAGTAGAGGACTCTACATCCTGGCTTGAGTCAGAGGCCTATTCCTGAATCAATTACCAGGAACCAAAGGTGCAGGATCTATAAAATTATGGCAACTTGCTTCCAGTAGAATCTTAAGGTTAGAGCTGGGGGAAAGGCACATTTCTCAGAAGAAGGGATGTCTTCATCAATTTTGTGTTGCCATAATGAAATACCCGAGGCTGGGTACTTTATAAAGAAAAGAGGTACATTTAGCTCACATTTCTGAAAATTCAAAGCATGGTCTGGCATCTGCTCAGCTCTAGTGAGGACCTCTGGTGGCTCTGGTGGCAGACTGTATCCCAGTGCCAGGAACATGTACAGAGGTCAAGGTGAGACAGGAAGCAAAAGACCAAGAAGGGGGTTAGGTTTTCTCTTTTTATCACACCCCACTCCCAGGGAACAAGTGCATTTCTACTAGTCCTGACCCACTCCTAAGAGACCACTCATCATCAATGTGGAAACCCTATTAATCTGTTCATGATTAATATTAAGTCATTTGTGAGTGTGGAGCCTCTGTGATCTAATGACCTTCCACTTAGCCCACTGGGACCAAGTCTCTAGCACAAGAATCTCAGGCTGGACAAACCACACCAGGGAAGAAGTCAGTTCTGAATGAAAACAAATAAATGAACAAACAAAAAAAGCCAACCAGAGCCTTTCAGGGTTTACTGTTCTTGCACTGGTGACTTTGAGCATAAACAGTAGTAGAGTAAGAAATATCAAGTTGGATTTCCTGAAGGTGGCCAAAGGCTGGCATTGGGTTTGGACGGTAAGGACATCCCTGCCTGTCTCCCTGCTGTGACAGCCAGATGGAGGAAGAACCTTCTTGGGCTGGATTGAGGTTGGGCTGATATCAGTAGCTAAAACTCAGATCAGTCTTCAGAGATGAGGCAGGTAACACAAATGTGAGAAACAGCCCGGTAGAAGCCAAAAGTTAGTTGGTGGGGTCTGGGGCAAATGAAAGAAGCCAATGGTCCCCAAAAGATATCTAAATTCCTTTTCTCCCCCTGTTTTACTCAATTTTTTTTTTTTTTTTTTTTTTTGCTGTGGTATCTAAAAGACCCAGCCAGAACAACTGTAGAGGAGGAAAAGTTTATTTGAGGGCTCATGGCTTCAGAGGTCTCAGTTCCTAGACAGCAGCCTTTATTCCTTGGGGCTCAAGTGAGGCTGAACATCATGGCAGGAGTGTGGCTAAGGGAAGCAGCTCACATGATGATCAGGAAGCAGAGAGAGACTCCACTTGCCAGACACAAAATATACACCCCAAAGGCACACCCCCCCATGACCCACCTCCTCCAGCCACACCCTTCCTGCCTAGTTACCAGTTAATCCCATTAGGGAATTAGTTCACTGATTGGGTTACAGCTCTCGTATCCCAATCATTTCTCCTTTAAACCTTCTTGCATTGTCTCACACATGAGCTTTTGGGGGGCACATCACCTTCAAACTATAACACTCCCCAAAATTGCATAGGGGAGATAACAATTCCTGTGCTAATCCCAAGATCACCCTGGCTGGGGAGGAACTGGTAGCCTTCAAGCAAGATCATCTCAAGAGTTTCTTAGCCATTCTGCAGATGAACCGGTGACCTAGATTATATGAAAACAAAAGTGGTAGGAGCCTTTTCAGCCAGGAAAAGACTCCTCCAGCCACTGCAGAAGGGCACTTAAGACAGGCTTGTGCTCGTTGGGAGCAGCAGTTTGCAGAGGATCCTTGACATCACCCTGCAGAGAACTCAGGCCCTCCTCATGCTGCACTCGCAAAGTCAGTCATATACTTGGAGTGTGTGCGTAGTTTTCTACCCTTGGTTGGGTTCTTATGGCGCTCCATCAGGGGTGAGTCAGGCATGCAGGTGGGACGGTCTCTGACCTTGAAGCAGCAGAAGTGGCAAGGTTCCTGGAAACAGGGAAGTGACTGACACAGAGCTGGCTTTGCCAGGTGCCTGTTGAAATGAGGGAGTGAGGAGGGAGGGGGGAGCAGTAAATTTTCATTCGGTTGTTCTTTGAGCCAGGCACTGTTCTAGGCACAGGGAGATGCAGCGATTTAAAAAGCTAGATATGGTCTGCATCAACAACATTTCCATTTCAAAGGGAGGTGTGCATTAGTGAAAGACAGGGATGTGATTAAAGGCCTGTCACAAGCTGGGCAACGTGGCACACGCCTGTTATGACAGCGGCTCGGGAGGCTGAGGCAGGAGGATCATGAGTTCAAAGCAAGCCTCAGCAAAAGTGAGGCTCAGTGAGACCCTGTCTCTAAATAAAATACAAAGTACAGCTGGGGATATGGCTCATTGGTCAAGTCCCCCTGAGTTCAATCCCTGGTAATACCCAAAACAAAGGCCTATTGCAGGGATCAAGGAAAGCTTCCTGGAGAAGATCCTCTCTGAGATTAAATTCCAAAGGACTTGTCAGAGTCAGCCAAGCAAATGGCAAGGGCAAGGAAATGGTCCAGGCTGGACTATGACCATCTGTTAGGCAAACCAAGAACCTGCTTAGAGACCAGCAAAGCAGGGGTCTCCGAAAATGAGGAGAAATTTCCAAAAAAGGACTTTGATATCAAAAAATGTATCAAAGTGCCCATCAGGAGGAAAGGTGGAACTCTGCAGGAATTCCATCCACACATTTTTTACGATGTAGCGACCTTTGACCTTTTCATTTTGAACTACAAATGGAGACACAGCATCAGAATCTCTTCTGTGTAGGACCCCTTGACATTCTCAGGAACTATCTTGATCCCAGAGCTGGGAGGCATGTCTGTGGTCTCAATTTCCTCCCCTTCACCTCCCTCTGCAGTCCCTTCCCCTCAGCACCCCTCCCTCACAGGGCCATTCCCTAGAGTCCTTATTAAAATTTACTGCCCTTCTGTTCCTTCCCTTGGGCACCCCTAATCCGCAGAGTTAATTATCACATGGTGTATAAATTACTTCCATAACTGGTTCAACTTGAGAGCCATTAGTAGAGGGCATCATTTCACTGAACTAAAAAAAAAATATTAACAACTGTTGCACTTCCCAGGTCCTCATAGCTCTTCTTAGTTGGGTTTCTGTTTCCGGTCATCCTCATCTCAGTAATTGTAACAATAACAACAATAACAATAATAATGGCTAACAATTTAGGCTGCCGCGCAGTGGGGCAGGGACTCTTCTCAGCTCTTTGCAATAACTCATGCTTTCCAACTGCCCCGAGTTAGGTTGTTACTTGCAATGGGTCCAGAAGGTCATTGATTCACAGGTAAAGAAATGAAGGCCGGGAGATTAGCCCCCAGGTCACTCTGTTGGTAGTTGGTGACACCTTGGTTATAAACCAAACATTCTAGTCCAGAGCCCAGTTCCACCAAAGTTATCCAGGCCAATTTCCTAAGAATAAAACCTGATCTTTTTCAATATTCCCTTTTGGTACCAAAATGCTGTATCCCTAAAATGTATTTGCCAGTCTATCCGCCACTTTCTATCTTTCCATCTCCACTGTTACCACTGATAGGGGATGAAGGGGTCTCCCAAAGTTCAGGTGCTGAAATTTAGACCCAAATGCAATAATGTCAAAAAGGTGGGACTTTAAGATGTGACTAGGTTGTGGGGCTCTGACTTTATAAAGGGCTTACTGTGGTTATCTGGAGAGTGGATCTGTTATAAAAATGAAGACTGGCCTCTCTTGGGTGTGCTGGCACTCTCTCACCCTCCCTCTGCCCTTCCACCAAGGGATGAAGGCCTGAACCAGATGTCCCTTGATTTTGGATGTCCCAGCTACCAGAACCATGAGGCAATAAATTTCTGTTCATTATAAATTACCCAGTCTTGGGTATTCTGTGAAATCAGAGTAAGATAACCACCACAGAAGAAACCACCATGAGACCTCTTCAAGAAATAAGTTCTGGCCAGGCATAGTGGCATGCCTGTGATCCTATTGACTAATGAAGCTGAGACAGGAGGATTGCAAGTTCAAACCAGCCTCAGCAACTTTAGTGAGAACCTGTCTCAAAATAAAGAGGGCTAGGATGTGGCTCAGTGGTTAAGCAGCCCTGGTTTCAACCCCTGGTACAAAAAAATAAATAAATTTTTTTAAAATTAAAATTAAAAAACACTGGGGATGTATCTCAGTGGTGAAGCGTCCCCAGATTCAATCCTCAGTACCAAAAAAAAAAAAGAAAAAAAAATTTAAAGAAAGCAAGAAAGTTCCATTAAGAGCAGGGACATGGTTTTGTTCCACACCATCTCCCCAAGTCCTGACTGACATATGTGTCATGATGTTCAGTAAAAAAAGGACCCTATGGGTGATTTCCTAACTGTAATCAGTGAGCATGCTTTGAGCACCTATCATAAAATAGAAAACCACTGATTTTTGACATATTGGTTTCTCTGTTCATATAGATTTACAAAATTGAGCTCATGTATCTTCCCGTAGTTTGTTTATTCTAAACATCTCCCCACGTTATTAAAACTTCTTTACAGAGTTAAGGGTATAATAGTTCAGTGTTAAAGCGCTTGCTTATCTGGGAGGGTCACAGGCACAGGGAAGTTCAAGTTTGATTCAGACTGCAGTGAGGCTAAGAAAGGAATCTGGCTGCAAAGATGCAATAACGGCTGTGGATTCTTGCAGCCACAACGTCATCTGGTTGAGAAAAGCCAAGTCAGGTTGCAACTACTATGCAATCTACGGGGGGGGAAGAAGTGGATAGGAAATGCAGTATCTTGAATTCAAGAGAACAGGGTGGAGGCTGGCTAAGCCAAGCAACCCGTTAAACCTGAGGAGGAAGGAGATCGTGTCTTTGGATGAAATATGAAAAACTAACATCAGTGCTCGGCGAACGGCTGAGGCAGTGCTGTGTACCTGGCAACGCTAACAGGGACACAAGGAAAAGCACGAAGGGTCGAAAGCTTCCCGGAAGGTGGCGGCCGTTCAAACCCACTTCGAGCTCCAAGTCGCCCTAGCAGAGCCCAAGGCAGGACCTTGGCTCCCCTTCTTACAAATCCAAGCGCTGGCAGGCTGAACTCAGGCGGGTAGTCTCTTCCTCCTAGGGAGGGAGGGGATTACAAAGAGAGGAAGGCCTGAGAAGTCACGCTCCGCACCGGCCGGTGCAAACACGTAGAGGAGGCCGGTGCACACCTAGACCGCGAGCGAGGGTGAAGACCCAGGAAGCCTACCCAGCCGCCGCAGGGCCCGCGGCGCCGCAGCTTCCCGCACGGGTAGCTGTGGCTGCAGCAGTAGCTGCAGCGGCAGGCGCGCGGGGCGGGCCCGGGGGCGGGGCATGGGCGGGGTTTGGGCGTGGCCGGCGGCGCGCGAGCCGCGCGGAGGGAGGGTGTTGAGTGGAGGGAAGCGGCTCGCGGCGGAGGGAGGGGAGGCCGAGTCCTGGAAGCGGAGCTCCGCGCTGGGACTGGTTCCTTCGCAGCCATTTTCTGTCCAACCAAACAGCCGATTGGAGACGGGAGCCAACCAGGGCTGCATTGGAGGTTTGTGTCTCGCTTCGGCCAATGATCGCTCCTAAACCGACTCCACTTTAGCTCGAATGAAATGTCCGTCTCCTCCAGGCGCCGTCCCCGCCGCCAACGCCGCCGCGGCCGGGGGCACTCGCCTCCCTGCAGCCCGCCGGGCCGAGTCGGGGCCGCGGCCGGGCCGGGCCGGCGAGGCGCTCCCGCTGGATCGGAAGAGCGTCGGGAG